TTAATTGATTTTTGTACAGGGTTCAGTTCCAATCATTTACATGAGGATATCCAGTCTTTCCAGGCACCATTTTTTAAAAAAAAGACTTTCTATTCTCCAATGTATGTTTTTGAATTGTCATTGAGGATCAGGTGGCTCTATCTGTATGTGTTTATTTCTGGGTCTTTTATTTTATTCCATTGACCTACTCTATTCCATTGGCCTATTTTTGTGCCAGTATAATTTGAAATCAGGTATCATTGGTATTTTCAGCATTTCTCTTTTTGCTCATCACAACTTTGGCTATTTGGGATCTTTTGTGCTTTCACAAAAGAATTTTAGGATTGCTTTCTCTAGTTCTATGAAGAATATCATTGGAATCTGATGGGAATTGTATTGAATCTGTAAGTTACTTTTGTTAATATGGGCATTTTTATGATCATAATTCTGCTGATCCACGAAAATGGAAGGTCTTTCCACCTTGTAATGTCTTCTTCAGTTTCTTTCTTTAGAGGTCTTTCACTTCCTTGGTTAGGTTCTCTCTCTCTCTTGCTCTCTCTTTTTTTTAATGCTATTATGATTGGACTGTTTCCTGATTTTTTCCCTCAGCATTTGAATGGAAACAATTGTTAGCTAAGTTTATTCTTATTTTTTAAGGCTATTGTGAATGGGATAGATCTTGTGATTTCTTTCTGTACCTATTCATTGTTGGTATACAGAAAAGCTACTGATGTTGTATGTTGATTTTGTATCCTGTCATTTTGCTGACAGTTATGACCAGATGGAGGCATTTTCTGGTGGAGTCTTTAGGGTCTTATAGGTATAGGATCATAGCATCTGAAAATAGGGATAATTTGATTTTCTTTCCTATTTACATTCCTTTTATTTCTTTCACTTGTCTTATTGATTGTTCTGGCTAAGAGTACAAGCATTTCATTGAAAAAGAGTAGAGAGACTAGACACCCTTCTTGTTCCTGATTTTAGGGAATATACTTTTAATTTGAGGGAATATACTTTTAATTTTTCCACATTCAGTACCATATTGACTATAGGTTTGTAGCATTTCTCTTTTATCAGTTTGAGGGATGATTCTTCTATTTCTAGTTTCTTCAGGACATGGCCAACATCAGTTGGATCTTTATAAATCCATTCAGTCTGACTCTGTCTTCTAGCTGGAAAGATAAGACCATTTATATTTAGGATGCTTATTTAAAGGTATGAGCTAATTTCTCCTTTCTATGTCTTCTTTGGGATTTGCTCATTTACTGAGTTGATAATGTTTGATTCTTTCCTAATTCTCATTTATCAGTTCTTCTACTGAGATCTATTCTTGCTTGAGCTCTTGTGATTGTGGATATCTTTCTCTTCTGTGTATAGTATTTCTTTAAATATCTTATGCAATTCTGACTTAGTGGTCATGAATTACTTTAGTATATGGGGGGGGGGGTCCTTGTTTCCTCTTCAACTTAAAAGGGTAACTTTGCTTTATATTGACAGTTATTTTGTTTCAGGGCTTGAAATACATAAGACATGTTCTCCTGATCTTTAGGGTTTCTGCTGAGAGACTTGCTATTATTTTGATAGATTTGTCTTTTTTTTTAATTCATATGTGCATACAATATTTGGGTCATTTCTCTCCCCCTCCCCCCACCCCCTCCCTTACCTCCCCTCCCGTCTCCTCCCTCTCCCTGCCACCCCCTCGATACCCAGAAGAAACTATTTTGCCCTTATCTCTAATTTTGTTGAAGAGAGAGTATAAGCAATAATAGGAAGGAACAAGGGGTTTTGCTAGTTGAGATAAGGATAGCTATACAGGGCATTGACTCACATTGATTTCCTGTGAGTGTGTGTTACCTTCTAGGTTAATTCTTTTTGATCTAACCTTTTCTCTAGTTCCTGGCCCCTTCTCCTATTGGCCTCAGTTGCTTTTAAGGTATCTGCTTTATTTTCTGTATGAGGGCAACAAATGCTAGCTAGTTTTTTAGGTGTCTTACCTATCCTCACCCTCCCTTGTGTGCTCTCGCTTTTATCATGTGCTCAAAGTCCAATCTCCTTGTTGTGTTTGTCCTTGATCTAATGTCCACATATGAGGGAGAACATATGATTTTCAGTCTTTTGGGCCAGGCTAACCTCACTCAGAATGATGTTCTCCAATTCCATCCATTTACTGGCGAATGATAACATTTCGTTCTTCTTCATGGCTGCATAAAATTCCATTGTGTATAGATACCACATTTTCTTAATCCATTCGTCAGTGGTGGGGCATCTTGGCTGTTTCCATAACTTGGCTATTGTGAATAGTGCTGCAATAAACATGGGTGTGCAGGTGCCTCTGGAGTAACCTGTGTCACAGTCTTTTGGGTATATCCCCAAGAGTGGTATTGCTGGATCAAATGGTAGATCGATGTTTAGCTTTTTAAGTAGCCTCCAAATTTTTTTCCAGAGTGGTTGTACTAGTCTACATTCCCACCAACAGTGTAAGAGGGTTCCTTTTTCCCCGCATCCTCGCCAACACCTGTTTGTTGGTGGTGTTGCTGATGATGGCTATTTAACAGGGGTGAGGTGGAATCTTAGTGTGGTTTTAATTTGCATTTCCTTTATTGCTAGAGATGCTGAGCATTTTTTCATGTGTTTTTTGGCCATTTGAATTTCTTCTTTTGAGAAAGTTCTGTTTAGTTCACTTGCCATTTCTTTAATTGGTTCATTATTTTGGGAGAATTTAGTTTTTTAAGTTCCCTATATATTCTGGTTATCAGTCCTTTGTCTGATGTGTAGCTGGAAAATATTTTCTCCCACTCTGTGGGTGTTCTCTTCAGTTTAAAGACCATTTCTTTTGATGAACAGAAGCTTTTTAGCTTTATGAGGTCCCATTTATCTATGCTATCTCTTAGTTGTGTGCTGCTGGGGTTCCGTTGAGAAAGTTCTTACCTATACCTACTAACTCCAGAGTATTTCCTACTCTTTCCTGTATCAACTTTAGAGTTTGGTGTCTGATATTAAGATCCTTGATCCATTTTGAGTTAATATTGGTATAGAGTGATATACATGGATCTAGTTTCAGTTATTTGCAGACTGCTAACCAGTTTTCCCAGCAGTTTTTGTGGAAGAGGCTGTCTTTTCTCCATCATATATTTTTAGTGCCTTTGTCAAAGACAAGTTGGTTATAGTTGTGTGGCTTCATATCTGGGTCCTCTATTCTGTTCCACTGGTCTTCATGTCTGTTTTTGTGCCAGTACCATGTTGTTTTTATTGTTATTGCTTTGTAATATAGTTTGAAGTCAGGTATTGTGATACCTCCAGCATTGTTCTTTTGACTGAGTATTGCTTTGGCTATTCCTGGCCTCTTGTATTTCCGTATAAATTTAATGGTAAATTTTTCAATTTCTTTAACGAATGTCATTGGAATTTTGATGGGAATTGCATTAAACATGTAGATTACTTTTGGGAGTATCGACATTTTTACTATGTTGATTCTACCAATCCATGAGCATGGGAGATCTCTCCACTTTCTATAGTCTTCCTCAATCTCTTTTTCAGAAGTGTATAGTTTTCCTTGTAAGAGGTCTTTCAATCTTTTGTTAGGGTTTACACCTAGGTATTTGATTTTTTTTGAGGCTATTGTAAAGGAATTGTTTTCATATTTCTTTTCTTCAAGTTTGTTCATTTTTAGTGTATAGAAATGCTAATGATTTTTCTATGTTGATTTTATATCCTGCTACTTGCTATAGCTGTTGAATGGTTCTAGAGTTTTGAGTAGAGTTTTTTTGGGTCTTTAAGGTAATAGGATCATGTCGTCTGCATAGGGATTTTTGAACAGTTTTTTACTATTTGTATTCCTTTTATTCCCTTCTTTTGCCGAATTGCTCTGGCTAGGAATTCCAGTATGTTGAATAGGAGTGGAGATAGTGGGCATCCTTGTCTGGTTCCTGATTTTAGAGGGAATGGTTTTAGTTTTTCTCTGTTAAGTATAATGCTGGCTGTAGGTTTGTCATATATAGCTTTTTAATGTTGAGGTACTTTCCTTCTAATCCTAGTTTTCTTAGAGCTTTTATCATGAATGGTGTTTGGATCTTTATAAGGCTTTTTCTGCATCTATTGAGATGATCAGTGGTTTTTGTCTTTGCTTCTGTTAATGTGGTTTATTATGTTTATTGATTTTCGTATGTTGAACCACCCCTGCATTCCTGGGATTCACCACTTGGTCATGGTGAATAATCTTTTTTATGTGTTGTTGAATTCGGTTTGCTTTTATTTTATTGAGGATTTTCATCATGTTCATGAAGGAGCTTGGCCTATAGTTCTCCTTTTGAAGTGTCTTTGCCTGGTTTTGGGATAAGCATGATACTGGCTTCATAAATGTGTTTGGCAGTTTTTCCTTCCCTTTCTATTTCGTGAACAGTTTAAGGAGGTTGGTATAGTTCTTCTTTAAAGGTCTGATAGAATTCAAGCAGAGAATCCATCAGGTCCTGGACTTTTTCTTTTTGGGAGACTCTTGATTGCTGCTTCAATTTCATTTTGTGTTATACATCTATTCAGGTGTTATCTCTCTTTGGTTCAGTTTTGGATGATCATATTATCTAGAAATCTGTCCATTTCTTTAGATTTTCAATTTTTTTGAATATAGGTTCTCAAAGTAGTCTCTGATGTTTCTGGCTTTGATGGTGTTTGTTGTTACTCCCCTTTTGGCATTCTGATTCTAGCTAATTGGGTTTTTTCCGCTCTCCTCATTTTAGTCCGGTTTGGCCAGGGTCTGTTGATCTTGTTTATTTTTTCAAAGAACCACCTTTTTGTTTCATTAATTCATTAATTTTTTGGTTTCTAATCTCATTATATTTTCAGCTCTTATTTTTAATATTTCTCCCCTTTTCTTTGTGTTTTGGGATTTGCTTGTTCTTGTTTTCTAGGAGTTTGAGAA